GAAATTTGCCTTTCCAGAAGAAAGGTAAAGAATTTCAAACCTTACATTTATTATTAAATATATAAATTAGATTTATATTTAGTATAACACAAATGAGTATATACGTGCATAGATTTCATGATAGCTTATATTAAGTAAAGTCACAAGTATGTAGTGTCAAAATACAGAATCACTAAATATTCAACTGACTACCTTCTCTCCATTTCAAATAGCCTAATAAGAGATGTGCTGCATCCTCTAATCATACAGTTTCGTTTACTGGAATACCTAAGCCTCATGTGTTACTCATGGGACAGTGCTATACATCCATCAAGATTCAGCTTAAACGTCATGCCTCCCAGGCAGGCACTAAGTCTGACTGATCTGCCACCACTACAGCACCTATTACTTAGCAGGTCAACAGGACACTCTAACCGAACTGAGCAAAACAAGATACACAACCAGAGCTTCCACATCCATGTGTGCAGCATCTCTTCAAACCTTTCAGGCCCTAACTACAGGAAGACAATTTCATTTAACCTCTACTATTTCCCTGAGTCTCTCACAAAATGCTTGTCTGCACAGTCTTCTCCAGGAACAATGCGTGACCCACAAATCTTCACGAACAATGCGTGACCCACAAATCTCCACAAGTTTCTTCATTCTTCCTCTGGGCTCATACATACCCAGGAAGCTCTGCTCTGGGAACTACAGGGCCTATCCTCTCCATACAAGTGAAGGAAGAAAGTTACAGACCACCCAGGTTTATCAAAGGAACACTTCCCAGGTCCAGAACCAAGTCATCAACAGAATTTCATGAGTTTTGATTCCATAACTTTTTTCTGGCTAAATTCTCCAATAAGGCCATGTCTTCCCCCCATTAAAATCTGCCATAGTTCAGAATATAGCTGAGTCCACAAGACGGCTATCCTACAAGTCCTTCAGCCTTCATGGGTATTTAGGAAACACGAGAATTTACCTATACTAATTCCCTTCTCCCCTAGTCTACCTCTTTCAATTAATGATAAGTCAAACTTTACAAAATAAATTTTTAAAAATGAATGTTAATCAAACCTTGGAACATGAGCCATGGGTAGAAGACATATTTTGATCTCATCAAGATTTTTAAAGGGTGGCTTATATTATAATTAAAATGATTTTAATATGGAGTTTATAATATGGGAAAATGCATATGTAATAATACTGATTATACACACACTATGATCAATTACTGAGGAAAAAAGAAGGTAGATTTAAATTTTTTAATTTCAGTACTATGAAATACAATAAATAAAAGTGACACCAATGTATGGGACTTCCCTGGTGGCGCAGTGGTTAAGAATCCGCCTGCCAAAACAGGGGACAGGTGTTCGAGCCCTGGTCCAGGAAGATCCCACATGCCGTGGAGCAACTAAGCCCGTGTGCCACAACTACTGAGCCCGTGTGCCACAACTACTGAGCCCATGTGCCACAACTACTGAGGCCTGCTTGCCTAGAGCCTCGCTCCACAACAAGAGAAGCCACCGCAATGAGAAGCCTGTGCACCAAAATGAAGAGTGGCCCCCCACTCACCACAACTAGAGAAAGCCCACATGCAGCAACAGAGACCCAACATAGCCAAAAATAAATTAATTAACTAATAATAATAATATACAAAGGACACTTGGCAAATCAGTAACAAAAACAAATAATCCTAGGGGAAGTGGGAAAAGAATATGAAAAGACAATTCACAAAAATAAATAAATAAACATATTCAATAAACATATGAAGGGGCTTCCCTGGTGGTGCAGTGGCTGAGAGTCTGCCTGCCGATGCAGGGGACACGGGTTCGTGCCCCAGTCTGGGAAGATCCCACATGCCGCGGAGCGGCTGGGCCCATGAGCCATGGCCACTGAGCCTGCGCATCCGGAGCCTGTGCTCCGCAACGGGAGAGGCCACAACAGTGAGAGGCCCGCGTACCGAAAAAAAAATATATATATATGAAAAACTGCTAAACCTCATTTTAAAAAATACAACTTAAAAAGTAAAACCGGGCTTCCCTGGCGGCGCAGTGGTTGAGAGTCCGCCTGCCGATGCAGGGGACACAGGTTCATGCCCCGGTCCGGGAAGATCCCACATGCCGCGGAGCGGCTAGGCCCATGAGCCATGGCTGCTGAGCCTGTGCGTCCGGAGCCTGTGCTCTGCAACGGGAGAGGCCACAGCAGTGAGAGGCCCGCGTACCACAAAAAAAAAAAAAAAAAAAAAAAAAAAAATTCCATCCGAAAATGAGGGGGGAAAACTAAATGAAAACAAAAAAGACAACAGAGTCCCAGTGATCTGTGGGACAGTATCTAAAGATCTAACATAAATTTGATGAAATAAATCAATTTTCATATTCAAGCTCAGTGAATCTCGAGCAGGTTAAATACAAAACAAAAACAAATTTAAATACATCGTAGTTAAACCGCTAAAAACCAAAGATAAAGAAGAAAATCCTGAAAGCAGCCAGAAAGAAAACACATTACAACCAGGGAAACAACAATATGAATGATTACTAACTTCCTTTCAGAAACAATAGAGGACTGTGAACAACATCTTTAAAGTAATTAAAGGAAAAAACTGTAAACCCACAATTCTATATCCAGTGAAAATATCCTTTAAGAATGAAAATTAAATGAAGTTACGTTCAAATAAACAAAAACCAAAAGAATGTCACCAGGAAACCTGCACTACAGAAAAAAAAAAAAGAGGAAGAAGAAATGAAGAACACTAGATATGGTAGATATGTGCGTAAAGCACTATCTCTTTTGTATTATTCTTTAAAATACGTAATTGTTGGGCTTCCCTGGTGGCGCAGTGGTTGAGAGTCCGCCTGCCGACGCAGGGAACACGGGTTCGTGCCCCGGTCCGGGAAGATCCCACGTGCCGCGGAGCGGCTGTGCCCGTGAGCCATGGCCGCTGAGCCTGCGCGTCCGGAGCCTGTTGCTCCGCAACGGGAGAGGCCACAACAGTGAGAGGCCCCCGTAATG